GGAGGGAAGGAAGGAGGGAGGGAGAAAAGGAAGGAGGGAGGGAAAAGAGGGGAAAGGAGAGGAGAGACGGTGGCGGGGCAGGTAGACCTGCTGTCTGTTTTGGGACATCCATCTTTCTTGACACTTGGAGTGACTCCCTGGACTGTGGAGAGGCTCTGCTTCCAGAAGGAAGGCTTGGTCAGCAGGCTGCTCTTGTTGCCTGGCACAGTGTTATTTCTAAGGATCCCTGGAGATCACCGTCACAGGAAAGATGAACAATGTTATTTAGAGAGATTCTCCCTCATGTTCGACGAAGTCCAAAGTCAAAGCTCTGGGCATCCATGACCCAGTGTTGACCGGGGTGCCCAGCACCAATGGCACATGGATGGCAGTGGGTACCCTGTAATCCAGTGACCCCTTTGGGGATCGCATATCAGATATTTACATAACAGTTCATAACAGAAGCAAAATTACAGTTTTGAAGTAGCAATGAATTAATTTTAGGGTGGGGATCACCACATGAGAAAGTGTATTAAAGGGTCAAAGTGTTAGGAAGGTTGAGAACCACTGAGTACCCTGTGTGTTTCCTGGCAACAGGACACTCTAGGAAAACCCCTCACATTTCCCATAGAGTCTAGGTTGCTATATTGTTTCCCGGGAGTGACCTTGCCCATCCCTTTGGAGGTTTTAGAGGTCAATGCCAACACCATGCTCTCTCAGGCTGCTTTCAGGCCTTTCGGGACGAGGGCTTCTGTTCCAAGAGTAGGATCCATTTTTTCCTGGCTCTTTCTGTTGACTTTCCATTAGAGTTCCTGCTGGTGGGAGTATTTGGAAGGCAAGGGTACAGGACACATTGAATAATAGCACATTCTCGCTGAATGGTGGCACTGCTTGCAATCCCAGCACTGGGGAAGCAGAAGCAGGATCAGAAGTTCAAGGTTATCCCCAGTTACACAGTGAGTTGGAAACCAGCTTGGGCTACATGTCTCAAAAGAAAAACAACCCTGCAAATAAAACCCACCACCACCAAATCTGAACATGTTCTGGGAATACTGTGGTCACAGATCAGACAAAAAACCAAAATAAAAGGCAAAAATCAAGACTTTGGTGGGCGGTGGGCAGGGGGTAGAGATACGGCTCAATGGTTAAGAGCACTTGCTGCTCTTCTAAGAGGACCAAGGTTCAGGTCTCGGTACCCACATGACAGCTCACAGCCACCTGAAACTCAAGTTCCAGGGGTTCCAATGCCTTCTCCTGGCCTCTATGAGCACCAGGACACATGTGGTGCACATATGTTCATGTAGGCAAAACATTCATACACATAAAACTGAGAAATATTTTTTTAAGATGTTTTCAGGGCTGGAGAGATGGGTTAGTGGTTGAGAGGACCCAGTTTTGATTCCCAGCACACACACATGATGGCTCACAATTATCTGTAACTCCAGTTCCACGGCAGTCAGTGTCTAACCCCGTCAGGCACCAGACATACACATGGTACACAGTCATATATGTAGGCAAAATGTCCATACACAAAATAATAACAGTAAAACACATTAAAAACATGTTTTCTATGTTTTTGCTATAAAATGTCCATGAGAAAACAAATGACAACTCCCGTTCAGCGAAGTGCAGACCAGCCTCCGAGGGGTGACAGGCAGCGGCAAACGGTGTGGTGTAGTCTATGAGGAACACGGTCCCGTGAGAGAAATGGCCACCAGGGAACTCAGAGGGAAGCATTGTCCTGTTTAGATCTGAGTGGGCTATGGCCTATGGGAGGCCGCAGTGTGTGAATAGAGTCACGGCATGGGTTACCTTTTGATCCATGCAGCGATGTCAGAGGACTCTGTTCTCCCCCTAATTCTAAATATTCATCGATGCACTCATGAAATCTGCGACTTATTTCAAGTTCAAACAATTTAGATAAAAATTCTAAAAACAAAACAAAACAAAGCAAAAACCTGCACACCGAAGGGGGGATGGGAGGCTTTGGTATCTCTCTGTGTCAACCTTGCTCTCTAGAAGTAGCTTCCCATAGCCTTGTCCCAGAGTATATCACGAAGTCACCCCACCTGCTTCTTCAAGGCAGACACAGTACCAGGAAGCCCACGCTAGGGGTGATGTCCCCAGCCAAGCAGTACTTTCTCATGGTGAATACAAACGCCCACCACCAGAGGCTAACAACTGGCACCCTTCACTAATGCTCATTTTTCAGGCTCAGCTGTCACACACACACACACACACACACACACACACACACACACACACACACACGCCCTACCATTCCAGGGTAAAACCATTACCTGTTGGCTTCAGCTGAGCCACCTGGGGGGTGGAGCCACCCGAGTGTGGAGTTTGAGAAACTGGCTGCATCCCGGAAGCTTCCTTTTCCGCTTATGAAACACAATGATAATTTATTCCATGCAGTTTTATGTTTTAGAATCAAACGTGTTAACACGTAAGCACTACACAGAGCCCCGTGCACAATACCGTCCCTTGTTCCTCTTTTCTTTAGCAACAGCAGCTTCCCTAGATCCTCTGGAGGCATTGGGCGCTCATTTACCTGGTGAAAAGCATGCTCTCCCCAAAGGCGGTTTACATTTCCTGGGTCCCTGGGAGCAGGGCTGGCTTGCAGGAACAGGGGTGTTGCTGTGAAGATGAACTTTTGAAGCCTTTGAGGATGGTAGTAAGTAAACCACAGCCAACTCAGAGACATCCAAACACTTGCTAATAAAGGCCCAAGGAGGAGAAAATGCTGGGGATTTCAGGAGACTGATGTTTCCCACAATGCAACACTCTCCATCTATGGATCTAGCCACATGATAGTGATTAGATCTACATCAACCTAACTTTCATGGGCCCAGCACCTAAAGACCTACAAAGCACGTTCCCTAGCCCTGTTAATACCCAGCTTCCGTTGGCGGCGTCAAAGGTACAGTCTGAGAGAGTCCCTGCATTCGCTTTTCATCTTGAGACAGCTGGCACTCTGGGTCACAGCAGCACCCTTTCTGCTCTGGCCTCTGCCCAGCACCCAGCTCCTTCTGTGTTCCTTCACCAAGAGGAACTGCTCTGCCCGTGGCTATGTCGACTCAGGGTCTCTCAAGCATTGAGCGGGAAAGGGGAGCTTCCAGAGGAGGCAGGGAAGAGGGTAAGAAGCGCTCTCTTGAATCAAAATGCTGTTGAAAATGAAGCCTGGGGTATGGGGCAGAGTGACAGACTCAGAGAAAAACCAGCTGCTGCTTCACTGACTTGAGCCCTACCTGGGTTACAGAAAGGTCTTGGCGTTAAGGGGAGAGCTAGGTCTTTATCCTGCGTGGCGGGTGATCCTGCTATGGGCAATGTAGCATCTACCAGATGAGGAGCTCCCCACCCGCTTCTACAAGGTGACTTGTGAAAGCCTCCCTTTTGTCTAGCTCAGTCCGAGCAGCGGCAATATCTTTCCACCTCTGAGTCCGGAAGGCATCCTCATCACCGAGCACCCCATTGGCTCTCC